AAACCTGGCTTAAAACAACTAGTACAATTCCCGATTTTTCACCCTATAATTTTATACACAAAAACTCAATAAATGAACATAACGGAGTAGGTATATTAATTAAACAAAACTTAAAATACACTATTGTAAATACAACTTTTTTCGAATCTGTGCAAAATATTTGCATTTCCGTAGACACAACTATGGGTAAGTTACATATTCTATGTGTATATTGTCCTCCCAATAGCAGCAGGTCTGCTACAAGCAAAATGAAAAAGGTGCTACTTGAAACTCCTAAGCCATGTCTTATTATGGGAGATTTTAATGCTCACCATATCCTGTTTGGATGTCAGACAAATAATAATAGAGGTAACAGTTTATATGCACTTATTGATGACTTTGACTTGTGTATTCTGAATGATGGTGACATAGCTACAACTGTCCAGTATCCTAACAGAAATCAGTCGGCAATAGATTTAGCTCTGGTTAGTTCCGCATTAGCTCCTCTTTGTGAATGGCACGTCCATGACGACCCGATGGGCAGTTACCACTACCCAACTGTGGTCGCTCTAAATGTGAAGCCTTCTGTATATGAAGTGCGTCCTGCGGAAGAAAAATACATTTATAATAAAGCAGATTGGTCTAAATATCAAGAACTATCAGAAACGAGATTTTGTAATTTAGAAATACATGGTACCGAACCTATTGATTTGTATAATAATTTTGTAAATATTTTGTATGATATTAGAGCAGAGACTGTTCCAAAGCAAACACCACAACAAACTTTAAGGGTAATGAGAAAACCTGCACCCTGGTGGAACCAAACATGTGATGATGCTGTTCGAAAGTCTAAGGAGGCCCTCAAAGAGTATAGAAAATCGCCTAGTATTCCTAATTTCATTAACTACAAAAAACTTGATGCTCAAAAGAAAAGGATATTAAAAGAAGAAAGTATTAATTCATGGCACAATTTATGTACTAGTTTTAATAGAATGACACCTATTTCTCGAATATGGAACTACATGAAAAGGTTTAGAAGGATAGGTTCTTCTCATAACAGATATTTGGCTGACGATTGGATACCAAGGTTCTTAGACAACATAACAGACTCTTCACAGTTAAATGAAGATTATTTGAATGATATTTTAGATCAATCTGTTGAAAATGAAAGTAACTCATTTCTCAATAGACCATTCACACTAAATGAATTGTACATAGCGCTCAAAAGTAGGAAAGATACAACACCAGGGTTGGACGGCATACCATATATGTTAATAAAAAAATTACATCCTAATGCGCAAGAAATGTTATTAAATATTTATAATAAACTTTGGAATAATTTAGCTATACCAGAGTCATGGAAAACCCAATGTGTAATCCCCATTTTAAAGCCAAATAAAGCTGCTAATGATCCATCATCATACAGACCTATTTCTTTATCATCATGTTTAGGTAAGCTTTTTGAAAACATGTTAAAGTTGCGTCTAGATTATTTTGCTGAAACACAGGATAAACTACCTCACATACAATTTGGATTCAGAAAAGGCAGAAGTTGCTCTGAAAGCTTTGTATCTCTGATATCGGAACTTAAAAAGGCCAAACTTAGTCATTCTAATGTTATATGTGTATTTTTAGATGTTAAAGGTGCCTTTGACAATGTTAATATTGAATGCCTCATAAAAGTTTTGCATGAATTGGGCTTGCCAAGAAATGTATTAATCTGGATTTTAAATTTCTTGCATGATAGGACTCTTTTTGTTAAATTTAACAATAAACTACATGGACCTAGGCCTGTTAACAAAGGAACAATGCAGGGAGCGACACTTTCACCTTTGTTATATAATTTATACACATCTCAGATACTTAATTATGTAGATACATCACAAGTTAAAATATTACAGTTTGCAGACGACTTACTTTTATACAGTGAAAACCAGAATATAAATACAGCAATTAATAGAATTAATACTGCATTGGCACAATTGCATCTTTATTATAGCAACATTTTAAAATTAGAAATAAGTTCTGAGAAAAGTAAAGTTTTAGTATTCAGTAAAGACAAATTTGTAAACTCTGGAATTAAAATTAACTATAATAATGATACAATTCCTATAGCCAATCATCATAAATTTTTAGGAGTTGTGCTAGATGATAAACTGAAATTTGATAAGCATATCAACTATATCTGTCAGAATGCCATGAAGAGCATAAATGTACTAAGAAGCTTAGCAGGAACCTTTTGGGGGTCTGATCCAAAAACACTTAGCATGCTGTATAAAAGTATTGTAAGGAGTCACTTTGACTATAGCTCTCTAGCTTACATGAATATTAGTAGCACATTGTTAAGAAAATTGGATGTGATACAGAATATGGGTCTGAGAATAATCAGTGGAGCCATGCGCACCACTCCTATTGTTTCTATGGAAGTTGAAAATTGCATACCTCCATTGTCCTTGCGGCGTTTGCAGTTGGCTGAAAGATTCTGTTTGAAGGAGTTGTCTTGTAGCAATGATATTGTCCTGAGTAATATTTTATATCCTGCAGAAGTCTCCCAGTTAAATGGAACAGCCAACATCTCGGCTAATACTCTTATTTCGGGTACATTGCCTGAAATAACAACAATAACAACTTGTGTAAAGAATCAGACAAGAGATATGTACATCAGTAACAAGTGGCCTATTTACAAATGCCCATATGATACATTACTTAATTATCTTGATATAAAATGTCATTTAAATTCGGTTAGTACTAAGAATGAATTCTTAGAATTTTTAAATGAAAAGAAAGACTTTTACACTATATATACTGATGGCTCCAAGAGTGATCTTGTTAAAGCAGCATTTTATGACCCACAAATGAAAGTTATTAAATGTATTAAGTTGCCAAGTAATTGTAGTATTTTTACAGCAGAAAGTTGGGCTATATTAGCTGCTTTGTCGTATGTAAATACCAATGTAAATAGTGTAAATATCTTGATAGTTAGTGATTCTAAAAGTGTTTTATCTGCTTTATGTAACTGTAATTTAGTATATAAACAGAATTATATTTTGTATAAAATTAAGGATAAGCTGCAAACGATTGGAAAATGTATAGAATTCTTATGGGTTCCCTCACACAGTGGCATAGTCGGAAATGAGATAGTGGATCAGGCGACGCGGCAAGATCACCACGAAGACCAAACACAAGATTGTAAAGTCCCCTTCACAGATTATTATCAACACTTTAAAATCTTGTCAAAGAAATTGTGGAAGGATTACTGGAACATTACTACCGTAAATAAGGGAAAATGGTACGCAGAATTACAGCCAGACTTACCAACGATTCCGTGGTACAACCGCTTTAAATACACAGGCCGAAAGTTCATAACGACCATTAACCGCTTGCGGTTTGGACATTGCCTCGTCCCTGCACATCTGTACAGAATGAAGATCGTAGCTGATGACAAATGCACACATTGCGCTCAACATAATGCAGACATAAACCACATAATTTTCCAGTGCCCATCGTTTGGGATTCAAAGATTGACACTTGTCAGTGAAATTAGTGATGTCGCTGAAGAAAATTCTATAAGTGTTCCCCGCCGCGTTCAGGATCTATTAACTGATGTAGCTTTTTTCATGCCTCTATTTAAATTTATACTTAATACTGTAGGAAAACTTTAATTATTTATGTGTCCTTAATTAATTGATAATGTTTGTAAATAGCTTCTTAGCTTATTTTGTAATTTAGTCTGTTCTATATTTATATAATAGGGAAAAAAGTAGAAAAATGATGGAAAACCATTCTAAATTGTTATTGCTAAAGTTAAATATTCTTAATTTGATGTATGATTTGTGTTATACTGTAATGTTTCCGACTGAAGGTCCTCGCAACCATGGTCACGAATAAATTAAAAAAAAAAAAAATATGAATTAAGACATACAGGAGTTTTGGCGGGAAATTGACCGGCGGCGGTTTGCTGCTCCTGTATTATTGTTTAAATAATGGTTTGAAGTGGACTTTGATATGTAAAAGTGTTGCGATTTTGTGTATTAAGTGTCTACGCATGTGAACTATTAGTGGAAACAGTGAAACAAGTGCTCTGATGGTGATGGATTCTCAAGATAAGCTGTTTGTTTGCATAGGCACCTTTAGATACCATCGCCAACTATCAGCTGTCTGCTGGATCAAGTTGCCGCCAAAATCTCCCAAGAACTGCACAATGTGACGCATCAACATATTGTGAAGCAGTATACTATGAAGGAGTGGGGAAATTACAATAAACCGAATAAAAATACTTAAGACTTGGCCTAAAGGTCTAGATACCAGGCCATAAACTCCAAAAAAAAAATTAAGACAGAAAAAAAATAACGTCATAAAGGTGACTGTGTAATTCGCTGTAAAGTTAGGCTCGCAAAACTTGGTGTTTTTTAATTAGTTAAAGTACAGTTACTTAAACGAATTTAGTATATTTTGAAGCGTTAGTGAGTGCCCATTATTTTTGACAAGTAATAGTAAGTGCTGCCTAATTATTTTAGTTATAATAATGCAAAATGTGAAACTTGCCGTTTTTTTAATGGTTTAGAGGTTAATAGATACGCTAAAGGGGAGAATAGACACGTCGTACGGGGTGTATAGATACGACATGAGGGGTCATTAGATACGAGAAGGCTTGAATAGAAATACGAAGGGGGTTATTAGATACAATGCTGTTAGGGTTGTCGCTTGTACTAAAGTTTTTTGAAATATTATTTTCATCTGTTTTTGATTTAAAGAGTGAATAACAAGAAAACAAATAATAATAATTTGATTTGTTATAAATTGGAAAGAAAAATAATTTTCTTTCTCATATTATAAATTTGAAAGTGAATTTGTTTGATTGTTTGTAGTTTGTTACGCCTTCATGCTTTAACTACTCAACCTATCATGATGAATTTTTTCATACACATGTCATGTCAGGGGTACAGAGCAAGATTAAGGATTATCGTAGGGGTATTTTTATATGTGGATTTTTTACTGAAATGTATTTTTTCGTAGGTAACATGCCGCGACAATATAAGCCTGACCCTAGAGGCAGACGATACAAAAAATATGATGAGGAGGTGCTCAACGCAGCTATTCACGAATACCAAAGAACAAAAAATAAACCAACAGTGTCATTAAAAACAGTAGCTGATAAATATGGCATTAATAAATCTGTCTTATACAAGCACTGCACTAAAACTATGAAAAAACAGGGGGGGCAGACAGTTTTTTCATTGGAAGTGGAGAAACACATGATCAAATATATCAATATCTGTGCTGATTGGGGGTATCCTCTTGATTCTTTGGATTTTAGATATTTTATTAAAAATTACCTAGAGAAAATAGGAAGAACTGTTTTAAAATTTAAAGACAATTTACCCGGTCCTGACTTTTTAGCAAATTTTCTTAAGCGTCATAAAAATGAAATCACACAGAGAAATTGCCAAAATATTAAAAGAAACAGGGCAGAAGTATCTCCTGAGTCTATCAAAGATTATTTCAAAGAATTAGAAACCTCTCTGTCTGGTATTGATCCTAAAAATTTAATAAACTACGATGAGACAAACTTATGTGATGACCCAGGCCGAAAAAAAATATTAACCAAACGTGGAACGAAATACCCAGAAAGAGTCATGAACCACTCGAAAGCTTCTGTGTCCATCATGATGTCTGCGACAGCTGCTGGAGACATACTGCCCCCCTACGTGGTTTACAAGGCCCAAAATCTTTACGACACCTGGACTGAAAACGGGCCACCTAGTACCCGGTACAATCGTTCTCAAAGTGGGTGGTTCGACGCCAACATTTTTGAAGACTGGATTAAAACTATTATTCTGCCGTATTTCAGGGGAAAAGAAGGAAAAAAATGTTTGATCGGGGATAATCTGTCCTCACATCTATCGATCGACGTAATACAAATGTGCCAAGAGGAGAATATATGTTTCGTGTTTTTACCATCTAATAGCACTCATTTAACCCAGCCCTTAGATGTGGCTTACTTTAGACCAATGAAAATTGCATGGCGTAATATTCTTCTAGAATGGAAGAAAAAAGATGGTAAAAAAGAATCTTGTGTTCCAAAGGGATGTTTCCCAAAACTTTTAAAAAAGCTTATGGAAGAATTACATAAAAATGCAAAAAACAATATATTGACTGGTTTCCGAAAAACAGGAATTAATCCTATCGATCAAAACCAGGTGTTAAACAGATTGCCAGTTGAAGATTGTGAAGAAGAAGTGGAAAAATCAATTTTGGACTTACTTAAGGAGCTACGCTATGGAACCACGACCGTCAAGCAATCTACAAGGAAAAGGAAGTTAAATGTGATTGCTGGGAGAAGTGTTGGGGATGGAACTGAAGGTAAAAATTCTAGGGATTATGATGAAATTGAAGATTATGTGGATTCTGAAGAAGGAGATGTAAAAAATAAAAAACGGAAAGAGGCTAATATAAGTACTGAAATCTCTAAAAAAGGAAAGGGAAAAGGAAAAAAGTCCAATAAACAAAATGAAAATAATAATAAAGAGAATGTAATCGATCAAAATGAAAAAAATACTGAAGAGACGGTTGAAGATTATGTTGATTCTGAAGACGGAGATTGTAAAAATAAAAAACAGAAAGAGGCTAATAAAGGTACTGAGGTATCTAAAAAAGGAAAGGGAAAAGCGAAAAAGTCCAATAAACAAAATGTAAATAATGCTAAAGAGAATGTAATTGATCAAAATGAACAAACTACTGAAGAGACGGGAAATAATGAAGAAAATGAAAAAAAATATGAAAATGTCACATTAGACTGAAAATTATGATATAGAATCAATGCCAATCGTTTATGATGATGAATTTGAAATAGAAAATGAATACTCTTTGGGATTACCAATGTGTGATAAAGATAATAAGGATAGATTTGGAGATTTGAATACAAGCGCACAAGTTTTAGCAGATATTACAATCGGAAATATTGAAAAAGAAGAGAAACAAAACAAAAAAATTAACATTATTTCTATTGAAACCTTTTCTAAGAAAATACACGTAAATAAATGTAAAAACATATCGAAAAGTTCTTATATTACAAAAACAAAACATGTTATTGATGATGAACCGAAATCTAGTACAAGTGGTATAAAATCTATTCCCTCAAGAAGACCGTCTTATTATAGAAATGAGAACGATGTTCTTAAAGATTTGATGGATGAGAACATACAATGACTTAAACTGAGACATACTACTTTTGATGTCAATCAGATAAAAAGAATATAATATAGGCATATAACTTTGTTACTATAATTTAGAGTCTATATTATAGTAACGAAGTTATATACCTATGCTTAAAATAATACTAAATTACATACCTATATTTTATAAGTGTTCAATGTGCCTAATTGTAAATGAAAACTCACCTAATTAGATTTTTTTATAAATTAAATGACATTTGTTTGATGAATAAGTGATTTACACACATTTTATTTTCATCTAACACATTAAAAAACAGTGTGTCACTTACATACCGTCGCTGCGCTTGCAATCTTTTTATTATTTTCGCTTCCCGCAATTAATATCTGTTTCATCCTCGATGTTCAGATAAAGTCCTTTATGTGATACTCGAACTTGATTGAGTTCTCTCGTATCGAAGTTCCAGTATCACAAAAAGGACTTTATTAGAACACATAGGGAAACGGAGATATTTTTTATTGCGGAAAGCGATAGTCAAAATGTACATAGCGGATTTTGGAAGCGCAGCGACGATACTCATTATCCAAATGTTATTAACAAGGGGAATAAGTGATAGTGACGAATTTTATTTTAATAAAGATCTTGTGTACCTATTTCGTAACTTTTTAAAGTGCCTAATTACAATACATAATATCTTTTATCTATAGTTTTGTTATGCTAAGAAATAATAATGTTTAAGTGTTCAATGTGCCTAAAATGAAACTGTCTGTGATTTATATTTTTAATTTAATAAAAACATGCCTACCTATGTAATTTTTTTTATATATCTACCTATTTAGGACATTTCTGCCATGAAGTATTCATATTCAGTAACTGTAAAAATATCCTAATGTAATGATAGCGTTCAATTCATACCTATCTACTTATATCCAGAAAATAGTTTAAATAGGTACCCACTGATTAAATGTGATTATTCAAAGGAATCATGTTAGTAACAACCCTAGTAAATTTTTCTATTCACCCCTCTGGCGTTTCTTTTCACCCAATATCCCAGGTGAATAGAAAACTTTACATTTTGTCAATTTACTTCTAAATGCATGATTAAAAGAAATAAAATTATTATAAAATGGTAAAATAAACAATAAGACTCATTTGAAAATAATGTAAGCGTTTATTCCGGCATAAAAATAATTAATGATAATCAAATTCAAAATTACGAATCGTGCCTATCCACCCCGTTTTACGGTATGTTTATTGAATTCTCTTTCTCATCAACAAACCGGACTTTTCTCTTGTTATATTTTTTTGGAGTTTATGGCCTGGTATCTAGACCTTTAGGCCATTCTCTTGTTATTATTACAATTTATTATAGAATACACACAATTTTTTATGACTCATCCACACGCTTGCCAAACAACGGCGAACAGCATACACCAAACAGCAATCACGAACGTGTAGATGGTTGTTTGCCTGTTTGTTTGTTTGTTTGTATGTGAATGCCAGTGATCGGCGTTGGTGTCGGTTTTTGTGCACCGATCAAAGGGTGTTCGACAAACGTGTTTGCTATGTATCCACACGTTTGGCAATCAGTCAGTAGTACGCACGAGCTTGCGGCTTGCGGGTGGCGGAAGGAGTTACTAATGGCTATTATTATTATACTCTACGCCAACAATGTTACCAATTCGAAATTTGTCTCGGAGGTAAATATGATTTCAGAAGTTGAGTTTACTACCAATTCTACTTCGAAAAGTTAGTAGATCTACCACCTACTTTTTTTTTAAGTTTTGTAGAGACCTCCCAATAATAATGTGATTCACTCCTAATAAATGTTTCTATTGGGTAACAAATATTTCACCTCTTTTTATAAGGAGCCCCGCGTGAAAGCAGGATCATTGATCATCAATTCCCAAAATAAAATCCGAAAAAATTATATAAGATTAGTATATCCTGATTTAATCGTTTTTAGACTTTCGTAGTTACACAACAAGGAACCCTTATAGTTTCGCCATGTCCGTCCGTCCGTCCGCGATTTTGCTCAGACCCTAGGTGCTACAAATCTATAATTTGGCACAGTTATAAATATTAACCACGCCTAGAAAACTGAAATAAAATCTTAAAAAAACATTTTTATTTTGGGTACTTCCCACACAAGTAAATGGAGGATGATTTTTTTTTACGTGTATTCTATCATTTGGGGTATCGTTGGATAGGTCTTTCAAAAACATTGGGGGTGTTGAACATCTTTTCGATTCTGAGGTCCGTTTGTGAAATATTTAGCTTTAAAGTGCTATTTTTCATTAGAATCATGTGCCCTCCCCCCCCCCCCCCCCTCTACTAACTTAACAGATCGACATGCGAAAAGTATACCCAATAGTAGTTTATATAATGCAGTTAAAAGGAAAATTATCACAGCTACGTAGAATCAAGAAGTTAACGAGTAATAGTTGACCAACTTATAAAATACACTTGGATTAGTAAACATTTCGTTACATTTTCATAGAAAAGACCTAAGACTAGCTGCATTAATAACTTTGTAATGTTATTGTAAGCTGTTAAAAATAAACATTTTATGAAGAAAACGGCTCATATGCATTACTACTATTATAATTTGGCGAAGCGCTTAAAAAAATAGTTTATCATTTTCATTCCATAAAAAATAAACAATTGTGCGTTTTGAAAATATTGCTATTAAATTGTATAAGGCGCTTCGAATAAAGAGATAATCTATGTTAAAAGTAAATAAATTAAATATAATGTCGAACGAAAGTTCGGGGTTCGATTCCACAGTCAAGCATTAATTTCATTAAAGTTTGTTTTTAGATTAATTTAGAGTCACAAAAAAGTTCAAACCAAACTTATTTGAACCTGAAGACAATTTATAGCAGTGATAATTGAGAATTCATTTGAGATTCTATGGTGTGTAAAATCTTCAATACAATAACCTTGAGAGCAATTCATATTGCCTTATTTTTAAATAAAAATAGGTCAACCCGAAAGTAATCGCTGCCCCAAACTCGTCATCCGTCATGTTTGCCTATCCGGAATATACTAGCACGTTCGCCGAGCGTGCGGATGCCGTGTTTGTGTTGGGTGAATGTGGTCGGTGTTTGTTCGTGTATGGTGTATGTGGCAAACACCAAGCGTGTGGAGGTGTCATTATAATCACAGAACACTATTACTCCTAAAGTCTATAATGCGCCCAACGCGTAGTATTTCTATAAAAGAAAAAGAAATAGAAAAAATTTATGTTGCAGAGGTGAACGGCATAGTCGGGAAGGGTCGCCCTAGGCGAAAGTTTATCGACCAAATTGGCGATATATTAAAAATGGGCCAAATCAAGAGTACCTTTAACCGACGAGCGTGTATGCGTAGGTATATGGATGTGGAGGAAGCGAGAGAGGTGTGTCAGGATCGTGCCAAATGGAAGTCCATAATCTCTGCCTACCCCTCTGGGTGACAGGCGTGAGTGTTTATGTTATGTTATATGTTATTTCTATCATAGACTTTGTATCTTATAGACTAAACATTCCGTGACGTCATCAGCGTGTGAAAGGAATGCACGTATATAGTTAGACATAAGAGTAAGGCAGAAGCAAATCTATATTTCTTGTCTTTTTCTAGGTATGCGTTTTTGATTGTTTTCCCTCCTTTATTTGACATTAACGATGTCAAGCTCTTGTGAATAACATTGATATTATAAGCAAACTGGTAATTGAATTTAGTGTTGTTTGTGGGTTTTAGTTATTAGGTAAAGTTAAAAAGATGGTAAGTTATAGCATTTTAAGATGCAATAGCATCAGTCAACGAAAAATTGCTAATATTACCTTTCGTCGGTAAGTTTGTTTTGTGCTTACATTTGCTACTTGTACTGATTAATATCTATTGTTTTGAATATAAAGTGTAACATTTCATGTGTTTAATGAACTTTGTGATGTATTTTGTCAAATATTTGGACTCCCAAATTGTAAATTCTTTATGATAATGCTCCTTAATTTGAACGGTTATTCGAAAGCTTAAAATCATAACAAACATGTACTATTTGATTTGGTAGGATTATAGAAACTTTAGGGATATCAGCGAGTACAATAATGTTTTCGCATTGTTGAATAATAATTGTTATTGTGATTAGTAGTTATGTCCTTAAATATGAATCACATAATGTTATACATATACATACACTTTTATGTTCAGCTTTAAAGGAAACTCCTTATTGCCCTACAACTCTTAAATCATTTTCCATATTACATAGACGTCACAAATAATATTATGTAAGTATCAACCTGAAAACATGTTTGGATTCAAGTACATAAGATTGGGCAAAGTATATTTAATTTCACAAAATAATCCTCAAGAGTCAATCCTCTATCTACGGTTTCTATATAGTTTGTGTTTTGTTTGTGGCCCAGCGTAGGCTCGGACAAAAAATACCGATATAATATATTAGTAATGGGTCAAATCGAGTTGCGCTTAACTCGAGTAAACTCGATTTGTATCTCCCCAACTCGAGTTTGGGCTGCTGTACATGAAGGAATCAAGTGAGCCAACATAAGAGTAAGAGCGCGATTCGTTCGTTATGTGTGCGCTTTGTGTTTCAAATGGTATTTAGTTACTGTCAAAACAATTTGTT